CCCTCGGCGGGAGCGCCGCCGAGCTCCCAAGCGGCGCACTGTAGCAGTGCGCCACCGGGCCAGCCCAATGAATTTTTAAAAAAGCAGCCATCTACTAAGAGAAGACAACTTCCTCAATCTGATAGAGAAAATCAACAATAAATTATAACTGTGATAAATGTATATTTATTTCCTCATAAAACTGGGAGCAAAGCAATAATGCCTGTCCTTACCATGTCTATTCAACATTTTACCACAGGTCTTCACCAGTGCATTAAGGAAAGAACAAAAAATAAGGGGCAAAGAAAATCAGAAAGTATGAAATAAGACTCACTTTACATGCAGATAATATGATTAATTACCTAGAAATTTCTAAGAAATCTAAATAAAACACTTCTGGATGCAATAAATATCTTTTAAATGGTCAGCAGAAACAATATACAAAAATCAATTATATTGCTATATTATTATAGCAATAGAAATCAACTTGAAATCAATGCTCTCTACAATACTATCAAAATATCAAATATTAGGAATAAATTTTTAAAAAGATGTGCAAGATCTGTACACAGAAAACTAAAATCACCATGCAGACAGATGTTAAACATTCAAGTAAATAGAGAAATATGCCATGTTTACCTATTGGAAGATGTTAATTGCTAAGATGTCAATTCTTTAAATCTATACTTAATTTAACCTATAATATAGAATTACTAAGTTGATTATAGCTTATTTAATCTATAATATAGATTTATATAATATAATATATTATATTGTGTGTATTATAAATTATTTATAGTACTAGATTTAATTAATTCTATAATTTAAATCTGTAGACTGAAAATAGCAATCATAATAGCATACTTTTTAGAAGTTAAAAAGTTGATTCTAAAATACACACAAAAGTGCTTAAAAGAGTTAAACACCCTGAAAAAGAACAAGAGAGAATGATTTAGTCCATTTGCCCTATATTGAATTCATTAAATAGTTGTTTATACAGTATAGTATAGATTTAGTATATCAAATCAAGACATATGGCATTGGTAAGTATAGATACACAAACTTATCGACAGAGTGAAATAGGGAGTGTAGAAGTATGTCCATTAAAATATGGCTAATTAATTTTTCAATAAAAATACAAAGACAGATCAATGAGGAAGAAAAGTCAATTCTTTTCTTTTTATTATTTTTTTTTTCTTTTTGTCTTTTTTCGTGACTGGTAATGGGATTGCAACCCTCAGTGTCGCGCTCGTACCGCGACCGGCAACGGGATTGCAACCCTCGGTGTCGCGCCCGCACCGCGCTCAACCAGTGAGCGGACCGGTCTCTATATGGGATCTGAACCCTCGGTGGGAATGCCGCACTCTACCGAGTGCGCCACCGGGCCAGCCCAAGGAAAGTCAATTCAAACATGGTACTGAAGCAACTAAATATTCGCATAAGACCCAATGAAGCAACTAAATATTCGCATAAGACCCAATGAAACCCCAAATACCAACATCTTTCACAATTAATATGAGATGGACCATAAATCTAAACACAGAAGATAAAACTATAAATCTCCTAGGAGGAAACATATGGGAATTTCTTCATGACCTTGGGATAAACAACAATTTCTTAGCTAAGACATGAAAACACATATCAATATAATAAAGAGATCATTTAAACAATATCAAAATTGTATTATAAGTACCGTATTTCTTACTAAGAGTAAGAGTGTTGAGGAAAACTCAGTTCTTATCAGAGTCACACTTTAATTATTTTCATCTATATTATCATACAGTCTTGAAAAGACACTGCCAGGAATAGGAGGTTCTAAATAAAAGAGCAAGGGACAGAAGTGTTACATAAAACTTAGAAGAGTCTCTTTGCATACTTAGGCTGTCAAGCCATCTACTTCATATTAAAACATATTAATTATAAAATTATGTACTAGCTTAAATATTTTATTCTAGCAGTCATAGTAAAGTATGGAAATATTTTTACTGTATTCTTGGTGATTGCTTTATAATCTCTTGTATTTTTTATCTCCTAGAAAGGCACTACATTGAGAATGCTTACCATTCCAGACCTACAAAATGGCCATTTTTCTTACTCATTCCTTTTTTCATTATTCTCTGTGTACTGATCGCTATACTGGTAAAAGTTCATTTTCAAAGAAAAAAATGGAGGACTGAGGACTATATAAGCAATGAGTATGTTGATTTCATACTTAATATTTATTGCTTTTAAGACATATTGTCATAGTAACTTATTAATAAAATTATAGCACATGTTACTAGTAATAATTCAAATTTAATTTTTCCTTATATAGAAATTTAGTAGTTAATATATTAATAATTAATATAATAATCAAAGCATTTTTTTAAATGGCCAGTCATTTTAAATATATAAAAACTGGGAATTTTTTAAGGGCAATATTAAATGGAAATGATTTTAAGTTAAAGTTTATTATTTTATCTTAATTATTAAGTATGTATTAAACATTATTACTTAACTTTTTAATATTTATGTATCTCAAAACATTCTTATATGCTGTTTTAATAAAAAGTCACAGGGAAATCCAAGAAGTAGTCTAGCATATTTTGCAGTAACATAAATTGAGACCCAGACAGTCAGAGGTAGAAAAGATTGAAAATTAATATGTAATAATGAGACCGAAGAATCTATATTATAGCCATGACTAATCTACAGAAAAAAAAGTACTTTGTTTTTAAAATATTGAAATATCTGAAAATGTCCTACAAGAATAAAAGTAAATATGAAAATTAGTTTACTTCTTGTATTAGGGTTCTCTGGAGAGAGAGAATCAATAGGATATGTTATAACTATATGAGAGGGATTTATTAGGGGAATTAGCTAACGTGACTATGAAGAAATGTCCCACAACAGACCATCTATAAACTGGATGCCAGTACCATGGCTCTGTCCAAGTCCAAAGGCCTCAAAACCAGGGAAGCTGATGGTGTCCTTGGTGTAAGTCCTGGAGCCCAAAAGCTGAAGAGTCTCGAGCTCTGATGTCCACGGACAGGAGAGAAGATTGTGTCCCAGCTCCAGCAGATAGAGAGAGCTTCGCCCTTTTCCTCTGTCTTTTGTTCTCTCCTGACCCCAGCAGATTAGATGGTTTCCGCCCACACTGAGGGAGGGTCTTTCCCACCCAGGCCACTCAGACTCTCACACTAATCTCTGCTGGAGACACCCTCACGAACACACCTAAAAAGATAGCTTTACCAGGTCTCCCAGCATTCCTTCATCTAACCAAGATGACACCTAGAATTAACCTTCACACTTCTCTTCAGGGAAATTGCTATAGAGTAATTCCTGCCTTTGAGTTTTATATCTATGCCTTTTATTGTAAATAAAATGAATTACATTTCATTAAAATAATTAGTAAGACAATATCAATGAAAAGGGAGCATATTTCATAGAAACCTTTGAAAATCTGATGTAAAATTTCTAACATAATATGAAGTACATAAAGTAGTTATAATACAGTTAATACTTAAATATATTAAAGTAATTTTCTTATATTGGATAATATTACTGTGGAACACCTGTTATCAAATATCTTTCAGGCAGGGATTCAAAACTGTTTCAATACAGATAAATAGCACATAGCTTTGCACAACAATCTTGAAAAAAACATAATACAAGTGATTATTTTTATTTTTAAATATATAGGCAACTTGAAAGTGAGATAGAAACCAAAGAGTAGTCTGGACGACAGAGATCCCATGACATCACAGTGAGTTCCAAATATTTAAGAATAAGAGGGCAGAGAGAGAATATAGTGCATTATAAATATAAAGAAGATATGTAGATATATTAAATAGTGATAGTCATATAGTTGTATATAATATAAATAGAAGAATATTTTTAATACTGTAAATTACATCATAGACATGGTAAAATTGTAAATGCTATTTCAATTTTTCATTTAAAAATTTTCTTGCAGTGTAATCTTTTTAGTGACTTTCTCTAATCAGGTTTAATCCTTTAACATCTGTGTATTCAAAATTTCAGTTAAAAGTAAATTACATGAAAGAAATCTATTTCATAGTAAAGGTCTCTTACATAATAAAAATATAGAGTAAGGGCTCTCATGTTACTCGTTAAATTAGCCATTATTTTAACTTGTGTGGTGTCATACAGGTGACTTTTTCTCCTTTATTTATTCTTCTAGATTATCTCTGGAAAATAAGAAGAAAACAAACATGGATTCCTTGATTTCCTAGGATTCAAACTTGCCTATTGTGGTTTAACCTGCCCAGAAAAGATACATGTATACATATACATATTTTAATACACACACATATGTGTGTATACACACACACACACACACACACGTATATATATAATTCCACAGATAATTTGTAAGAAGTGCATGATTATGAGTTTTATGTTACATATTTCTTGTTTTTTAAAGTTAGCCCACACTATTTCCGTTAGTCAGAGAGCATAAGATTACAGTATAATAAATGTGTTGCCATCATTCCAGGCCTCTGTTATATTTTAAACTGCAATGGTATGCTGTTATGTTATAGTCTGATGGTTCATAACAATTTGAAAGACAATGATCCTAAGATCTGGAAAAATTTCTCAACTGTATACTGCTCACAAAAGACGTTTTCAGGTAAATAAGTGTTCAAAGTAAAGGATAGAAAATATATACCATAGGAACTTTATACTAAAGAAAGCTGATAGACTTTAATTCTGAAAGTATTTGTAGAGATAACACAGAAGAATATATTAGTATGCAAAGGATCAGTCTATAATAGTAGAATTATCATATTTTATGGGCTCTTAAAAAAAAAAAACTTCAACATAAAGCAAATATAAGGTTAATTCAAAAAGTTAGTGGAAAAGGGCCGGCCCGGTGGCGCACTGCTATAGTGCGCTGCTTGGGAGTGTGGTGGCGCTCCCGCCGAGGGTTCGGATCCCACATACAGACCTGTTCCCGCTCACTGGCTGAGCGAGGCA